ATAATTTTTAAAAGGGAAAAAAAAACCTCAGGACAGGACGGGACAAGATAACCCCGTCCCACATCCTGTCTCATCCCGTCCTGTTTTTGTCCCGTCCTGAACTCACCGGGACCGAGACGGGGTGACTAGGATGGAACAAATTGAACACTCCTAGAGCTCAGAACAACCTATGACACAAATAAATAGAAGACCTCAATTAATTTTGTGTCTAATATTACACAAAAGTATTTCAAGGAGATCATGTCACATTTCTTATAATCACCTAATTATTAATTATCCAAATCAACTAACTCTTATATTAAAATAGGCGGAAATAATTCTTTTGTCATCATTTGAGGTTTAGAGATCATTAATTAATGCAAAACATTACTCCATATGAACTAAAATATACCATGCAATTGTTTAGAAACAGAATGAAACATATGATAGAGAGTTTGAATGAGGATATGGGTGAAGGGAATAAATCCAATACTCCATCCAGCCCTAATAGAAGAGCTACTTAATTAATTTGAATAAACTGAGAAAGTCAAATAAATTAGTTAATTGTAACAAATGTGATATCATTTCCCTCAAACACCCCCATATAACATTTATATCAATTTATAAGTTAAATAAATTAGCTTTAAAATAATAATAAATATGAGAGAGAGAGAGAGAGAGTATGAGTTGAAATTTTATATTTAAAATCAAATTTGACCCTCCAATTAGCTCTTAACGAACGGAGCATTAGAACTCTAAAATAACAATTATTTTTTTATAACAGAAAGAGTTGTTGATAAAAGCAAGTGAGAAATTAAGTTTTGTACGTGTAGGCTATTTAGTGATCATTTTGTTGATCTGATCAAACAATGATGAATATAAAGACTTAGTGAGGTGTAATCATCGTGATAATTATATACATGCAGTGTATTGGGATCCATTCTGGTGATGCTGGGGTTATATATTCTTCTGTGGGGAAAGCAAAAGGAGATGCAGAATAAGAAGACGAAGCTGGTCGTCGTCCAAGAAGCTGAAGAAATCAAAGAACAAGACCCACCAATTCAACAACAAATCACTGTCTCCTGTGACTCACGTTGTTCTTAATGTTCATTAAATTTAATGTGTTCCATTTCATCAATATCATAAAAACTTTGAAGCCTCCTCATTTAGTGTTTAAATTGAGAATCAATAATGGCAACACGGTTTCATCCGTCTGCGTCTTCCTTCTCAATTATTTTTTCATAAATATTATTGTTGTAAACGGAATCATATATATATATATATATATATATATATTTACTCGGTTCAACAGTAAGATATATGTACGTGTGTTTATTTTGGAATGTAATTTCAGTTTTGTATTGGTGATTGGTATCAACGTTGAAAAGTTGCATAATAATTCTAGTTTTGGAATCTGTTTTACGCAAACCTTTATTTAAATTTTAGATTAGCCAAAGTGACTTTAGAGTCTATTCATGATGCGTTTGGTTAGTGACAAGGAAAGGAACCCAAAAAAAGAGAGGAGAAAGAAGATAGTGTGATTCGTGCTGGGCAAAAAAAAATAGTACACCTTACTAACAACAAGCTGTTAGTTGATATAATAAGCTGTCACACCCTCGTAAAGAAAAAAAATGAGTTCAAATCCCAAAAAAATATTTGCTGGGAGGATTTTAACTTTAATGTCCTATGCGCAATAGAAATTAGTCTCAAGTCTAAAATAACTTGAGCTCTAAGTTCAAAAAAAAAAATAGTACAACTTGTTCAAAATTTTTATTAACATTTTGATATATTGGCGACATATTATTTTTATACATCTATTTAAATATCGATCAATATTAATTGGTATTATAATATAAAATATAAAATACATAAAATGATGCATTATTCAACAGTCGTGGAAAGGCAATGTGTTTTTAATTCTTATTTTCATTCTACTTCGTGCTTGGGTCTTTTTCTACTGACGTAGGTAGGCTATCTATGGTTCTATGATGTTTATTTGGCTTCTTAAATGTTCTGAAACGGCACTATTATTATTAATAGGTCTCAAAGAATTTGAAAATAATATGAAATTACCCAAAGACCCTTTGATCATGTTGAAGCTGTCAGTTTGACCAGTTTTAATGTTTTATTGAATATTAATATATTTAAATGTTTGGTTACTCATAAATCATTTTCAACAATACAAATGTCAACTTGTGACTGGTTGGCAATGATAGTTAAACCAGTGACGAGGGGGAGGATTAATATGGCCAAAGGACGTTTGAGTAGTTTCACATCGTTTTTTTTTAAAAAAAAAAATTGCTCTCAAATCCCTTGTGAAGTATTAGTAATATCTTAAATTTAAAGAACTCATTGGTAATTAATTTCTTGATTTAAGACTTCTATATATTTTTCTTAGATCTCATTCACATACTGGATTTCCATTTATCTTTCCTCTACATGAGAAGTTTCTTTTTTAGCAAACTTCTCTGGAGCTCTCTCACCGGTAAATTCAGCATCATCTTCAATTTTTATTTCAAATCTCTCCTTATACTAAATATGTAGAAATCCTCCGATTTTTTATATAAAACCTAATTAAATAGTTTGAATAGATGTTAGTTAAATTAGTTAATATGATTTTTTTAAAAGAATACCCTAAGAATCTTCCTTAATTCCCTTCCTCCCTCTCTTACTTGATTATTGTTATGAGAATATCAATAGGACTAATTTGAAAAGAATAATTGATAAAAATGTGAAATAAGTCTTATATGTAGGGCAAATATCAACTCCCTAGTTAGTTCTTATATAAAGGATCGGAAGAGTATTTACTATTTTTCCTTTTTCTATGCACTTCTCTGCATTAATTCAAAGGGAGACTTAGAAGCAAAGCGAATATTGCCTTAAACTAGATACGTCAGTGAATTAAAAGGCATAAGCAACTTCTGATGGCCGCTTCGTGGCATAAAAACTTTCCTGTAAGTTAAAAGATAGACACAGGTCCAATATCAATTGTAATATAATTTCAGACAGTTAGTACCTGTCCCTCTAATTTTATTTTTTCAAAAAAAAGTACAAACAACCTGTGACAATTTCATAAGAAATGAAAATGACAATTGGACTTTTTTTCCCCTCAAGAAATTAGGATTTTTGCCTTGTATCTCATCTGAGCTTATGTGTATCGAACTTCTCATGAACAGGGATCTCATATGAGTTTTTGGAGGGTCTCCAACAATGTTGAGACAAAGGATACAAACTAATTGAACAAATGACTTCCAATTATTGGAGTTCTTCGTTTGATTAATGTGTGTTTGGTTTTGTGTTAGAGCTTGGTCAAAATGTTATTTTAATCAAAACAATATAAAAATAATTGGTTAAAGCGTAATTTTGGTGAAAACTAATAAATATCTTCAAAGAGAGATTTTAATTAATGCATGACAACACTATAAACCACCAGCATATCTTCAATGAAGCGAAAAATATACTTGCCACGTGCATTGTGTGAAAAACGATTCCTTCTTGATGGATTCTCATCCTAAACACTGTAGGAAAATTTTTTGTGGGCTCACACACACACACACTCACAAAACAAACACAACAACAACCAAAAAAAAAGCCTTTTGTGGATTGTGATAATTATTTGATGCATTATTCTCATGATTCGTCGTTGGCATATATGGAGTCCCAAAATGACCATAATTGGGTTGATCTGTTACATTTAGGAGTGGGAATTAGTGTAAGAGACGGCAAATGGCCAGAAATGCAAAGATACCTAATTCAAAATAATATATATAATACATGCGTTAGGTGTAAAGTGAAAAGTGATTTTATAAAGTCAAAAGTATATATATTCATGATAACACAACCAACATGGAATGGGAATATAATCTTTAATTTGTCATCTGTATATGACAATGTAATAATGCTGACGTGTTAATTAGCACTAATTTCATCCTAATTATTTCGTAAGATATAGATATCACTCTTTTCAGTTTTTAATATAGGAGTTAGTTTGGATGTTTGTTTTGGTCTTAAATATAAGACCTTAATCTACTTTATTTCTCAAATTTATAATTTTTTTTCAAACTATCTTCATTAATTACATATATGAAAATGAAAGGCAGTTTCGATCAATGAGATAATAACCAAAGGAAGTATTTTAGAAAAACCAATGTACATTTATTACAATCTTATATTCAGGATGTGAGGGAGTATAATTTCTTATGAGGCTTTTTGAATACATAAGGAACTTCACTTTTTTACTTTTCAACTCAGAGAAAAGAGTGTTCCTTATTCCAAGTCACCAAAGATATTCATTATCTTTTTTTCAAAATTATTACTTCTATTTAAAGTTTGATGCAATTTTCTTTAATTTTTTTTCATTTCCCAATGTGTAATTTATGTTTTAAATAAGAATAAATATGAATTTTTTTAATTTTATTTTCAAATGAATGTATTACATAACCACCTTTTGTTGATTCTAATGAAGTGGTCGGAGATGCCTTCCAACAAGAGCTGATCGATGTACTTAGTTTTTTGGGTTTATAACTAAAGTTTGACCAAATACACGGGGCTATGGCTCCCCACGAATTAAAGTACTCATGTGCTTCGTTCTAATAAGCACAATATGAGCCATCCCATTTCATCACTGATTAAAGCTAATGGCAACTCCTCCTCCATATTAATTATACGTATATAGAATCAAAATTATCCCCGTGTGTGTGTGTGTGAATTTTATACATAAAAAGAATAAAGATTTCTGGGGATAACATCAATGATAAAAATAAGAATATAGAAATACATTATGACAATGATGTTACAATGTTTACCTTCGATATAATATTCTTGATATGGTGTTCAATCACAATCATGCTTAACATCGATGAAAACCTCACTCACATCTTAAAATGTATGCATAAACAATCACCCACAAGCCATTTTTTCTGATTGGATCCTAAAGTAATACAATGCGTTCAAAAATTTAATGAAACAAAAGGACATATAGTAGTAATTATTAATACTTTGACACTCTACTTTCCCTTAGGTGATGAATTAGACTTATATCTCAATCAGAATGTCCAGAATGATGATCACTGTCACTTTTGGATCCTTCTTTTTCTTTCTTCTTCTTCCCCTTCTTACCGTGCTTCTCGGCCTTATGGTGGCCGGCCGGCTCAGTAAAATCCGAGATCTCGATGTTCACACCGGGATCATGGGCTTGGTAGCTTCCGCTAAACATGATTGAATTGTTGACTGCCTGAAAATTGCTGTTCACATAAGTGCTCAATTCCTCCTCTTCTGTCTGCTTCCCCGAGTGATGGCTGGCCATCGGAATATTGTTGTCAACTTCGGTTTTCAAGGTGGCGCCGTCGTTGGTGCCGGCAAGGGTTATGATCCTAACACCATCATCATCATCATCTTCTTCTTTATAATGACCTGATTTGTGAAAATTAGCGACACGGCTGGTGATGGAAGTGACCATCTCTCTAATATCTTTATCAAGCTGTTTATGCTTCTCAGCTTCTGGGTTGAGACTTGATGATTGTGATGAAGGCATATTTAATTGTAAGGAATGAGAATTTTGTTCTTCTTCTCTACAATTGGGTTTTGAGGTGAAATTCAAATGAATGTGTGTGACAGTACATTAAATAAGTGGCTGGGAATAAAGTTGATGATGGAATTACTTCTATGTCAATTCAAGGATCGATCTGTGATTTATTCCAAAGAAGGAAAAAGGGTCCAGGAATTGCTTGAGGAAGAGTTTAACTCATATTCTTTTGTGACTCTTATGCTTGTCGAAGTAATAAATAATTTTAAAAAAAGAGCATTAATTGGTGAAATAAATATTAAATTCTTCTTCATCGTCCTTTTTTGGCCCAACTTCTTCATCATCGTTTTTAATCATTATTAAATATTATCAAAATTAATCTCATGTAAGAATGTAATTTATCTCTAATCTGTTCATGACCTCCTCCAAAGTAGAGACATATTCTACGTGATTGAGGCTCGTCTTTTTGAACTTAAACGTTGTAATTAAATCTTAGAAATCAAAGAATTGAAATATTAGATTAAGTATTTAACTACTAAAACCACTAATTGTACATAACGCTTGATTATTGCGTAAATCTTTTAGTTTAATCTCACCCGGCCAGTCCCAATTAATGTTACTTTAATTTTAACCTCCAGTTAATTCCATATACACACACACACACACACACACACACACTTGAGCGTTTGCCATGTGACAATTGTTGTGGTCTCTCTCTTCTTTAATCATTGGTGTGCTAAAAATTAATTTAATTACAGAGAAACTCCAACTTTTTTTGAAATTAATATGCATGTTTTACAAATTATTTAGAGTTTGGGCAGTAAACTATTTTATTCATGACTTGTGAATAATTTGCTTAATATATTGATATCAAATTGAAGTTGAAGACAGAGAACCTCATTTGGTACGATTTCTTTTTCTTCCACCTTTGTCCTTCTAATTATAGCTAATAATGGCCCATTTAATTGGAAGAATCTGTTTGAAAAAATAAAAAGGAAAGGAAAGAAGAGAAATACTGAACAGGAAGTCCTAGCTGATACAGAATAAACATAAAGAGTGTTTAATTTGACAGGTGAATTAATCTTTGGTTGGATAAAATGATGAAAAAGAAACTAGAGTAAAATATTACTATAATCTTAATTTAAAAATTATAAAATAATTTATTATAATTGCTAAAATGGGTCTAAACGACTTATTTTAAACAATCGTTATTAATGAAATATAATAAAGTAATTTTAGTCAAAAAATTATCATGGAAACGAGCTTTAATAAGATAAAGAGAAACTTAGATAAGCAAAAATAAATTATAACAAATTAAAATTTTTGAGGTTTAGCCCAGAGAAGTAACAAGATTATTAGCCATCAAGAAGACAATGCTTTGAAATCCCTCCATTTTTTCCTGCTTTGGCAGGCTCCTGTAAATTAATTTTACTCCAATCACTCTACCAACCATGAGATAAATCTGACGGCTAAGATGAAGACACTTCCCAGGCCCCGCGCCCAGAGCTGTGGAGGTGATCTGAGCTGAATCCACTCACTATCACGTTAGACACGTTATAGGTGCATGATTAGAATAATGATGACAGAGACATGCATTATGGGAATTAATTAATAATAACTTCAAATGACTCAACAAGATAACATAGCTGGCAAAAAAAAAAAAAGATAACATCGGAATCATTCAAATTAAATAAACACACTTTTTCTAATACAAAATTAAACACACCAAGAGTAATGGTTTTTACACTTATTAAGTTATCATTGTACTATATCTCTGTGTGTGTGTGTGAATCTTGATCAAATGATAGCACCACATGTTGCTCTCCCAATATGAATGATTGCAATTTGCATGCTCATCATCAAATAATTAAGGCCTTGTACTAATTATTAGTTATAAATTGATGACAACAATTTGTATGAATAATTAATAGGGATAAATTATTATAAAATATTAAAATAATCATAAACTATAAATAGTGAAGTCTTTGTGTAAAGCATAAATCCATAATTTATGACAATCTATAGAAATTATGTTATTCAATATTCATATAATTCATTTAAGATTTGTGTACATGCACTCGCTTTCATTAGTTAATATATTATTGCCTCCGGTGCTTAATATAAGACCTTATTTGATTTTTATTTTGGTCTTAAATGTAAGATTTTAATCCACTTTATCTCTCATATTTATATATTTTCTCCTAAGATAGTCCTTCTAATAATAATAGTTCTAGCCAATATACTTGATTTGCAAGGATATTTTAGAAAAGATAATACCTATTTATTACAAATAACTAACTTAACTTACTTTTTTAATCTTCTCAAATTAGTCAACTAAGTCTTATAATTAGAACCCGAAGTAATATTACACTGCCTCCTATCTTTTTTTTCCCTAATAAAATTTTAGGAAGGGGGACATCTCTAGGCACCATGACAATCTCAAGAATTGAACCTCTCTTTTTGGTGAGTGTTCAACTTTTTAACTACTAAACCCATGGTACGATGTGTTATCTCTTGTCTTTAATATAAAAGTGAATTGGATATTTAAATTTGATTCTAAATATAAGACATCAATTTATTTTGCCTTCCAAATATATAATTTTTTTTCAAAATATCCCTATTAATTGTAAGGAGTTCCTGTACTAAAAAGTATTTCCGATGTATATGATTAAACATGATTTTTTAACACACATTTGTTACAAATAATTAACTTAACTAGTTACCTGAATACTACTAGATTAGTTATCTAATTGTTATATTAAGGACCAAAAAATAGTATAATGTTTATTAGTACATAAATTACATAGAAAGACAAAATAATGGTTTATTTTGTGGGCACTGCGATTTGATTATTTGGGATTAATTATTTGAATACTTGATCTGGTTTCATTTTTTCGAAATTAAATTTGATTTAGTAAATTCAATTTTGAGTGCACTATTATATCATAGTTTTTTTTATTTTATTTGGTATTGTATTTCGATCAATGAACTATAGATATGCATTTCAAGTTTAATTAGATTAGATTCTTAACAAAATAAAAAGTGAATAATACCAAAAAAAATGTACCAGGTGCATTATTTCACTCAATTCTCCTTTTATTTCACTTTTATTTTGAAATTAATTTACATGATTTCAATTTCAAAGAATCATCGCGTAAGAATAAAAGAAGAGGCCACTCGTACACATGTAGGCTCCACCTAAAATTTTTTGCATCACTTTTCCATAAGAATCTTTATCCAAATTAAAGGGAAGTACTTTTTTGCTTTCTTGGAGAAGAGAGGCATTTTTGCATGGATTCCAACAATTTAATTTTTAATTTCATATTTAAACTATTCTTCCTGTCTTTAACATAAAATTTATTTAACTAATTTGATTAAATTAAAAAATAAATAAATTAGTTAATTATAATATATATGATATGTATTTTATTTTAAAATATTCTAATAATCTTTCTTAATATTTTTCTTGCCTCTCCTATTCAATTATAGCTTAGGGAGTATCAATGAAATAATTTTAAAAAATTAATAAATATAAAAAAGTACATCTTACACTTATTACTAAACACTAACTTCATAAGTAGGTTTTATATTAAACAGGGAAGAAGTATTATCTTTTTATATATAATTGTGAAATATCATTCTACGCACTAAACTGAAAGCTTTTGTCCCTTTCATTCAAATAACTTGCCGAAACCACTGAGTTTACACAAATAATTATTATCTAGTTACTATCATTTTACACCGTTTTCTAATGGGTAAATTGAGTTATGAAAATAAAAAACTTTCTGTGAAAGATATGATAAAGGTGTGAACTATGGAAAAAAAGAGAGGATAAAGATGTTTAATTACGTACAGTGATATTTTAGCGTCAGTTGTAATTTTTCATAATCTTTTTTACTATACTCTCCGCCCTTTTATCCATGCCGTAAATCAAGCTAGATGTTCACCCGTTAAGGTCCCTTTTTCCATGTGTGATATACAAACTCTAAAAGAGTTTTTTGCCAACAAATTCCAAAACATATTAGTAAGCGATCATACATAAATTTTGTCCATTCAACAATATTAACTATTCCCTCAATTCTTTTTTATAAGAAACAATCTTTCTCATAATGGTGACTTTATATTTCAAAAATAAATCCTTTTTATCGAGAATTTTAAATTAGTCTTTTTATTTTTATTCTCATTAAATATATGTCATTTATTATCTATTTATAATAAATTTTCACTCATTATCTCTTATATACTTTCTTTACAAACAAGAATATAATTAAAAAAATATGTATATATTTTAGCCATTTATTATTTTTAACTAACATTTTAAACCATTGTTTTTTAACGTTCGCCAATTTAGGTTGGGAATTCTTCGCCTTTTGTGATTGTGCTACAATAAAAATAATCTCAAATCTATTCCTTATTATTTAATTATAATAAATATTCTTATTATGATTTCCTTCTCATTCTATAAGAATTAAAATTAGCAACCTTAATTGAAAAGATTTTGTCTCATTCGATGTAACTACCTTCAGTACTCTATCTTATATTTAAATTTTAACAATTCCTGGATAACGTCCAAATCATCATCTGGCCCACTGATCACTATCATCATCATTCATTCATTCACAAGCGAACATGCTAGAAAGTCAAATAGCCCATGCATATCTATCCCCACCGTCGCAACGCGGCACAACCAAACAACCAACATTAAAAATTATCCAATTTTCTGAAGGTTATTACATAATATATTTGACTACATAAATCATTTTAACTAATTAATATTAACTCATTTAAATCTGTTTCCAATTATTTTTTTTTTCAATTTTACCCAAACTAAATAAGATTATGAAGGAATAGAAAAATATAAAGAATTACATCCAAATATATATATAATTGCAGGAACAATATTAATAAAAAAATATAAATTATTTTTTAAGTAACTTGTATTTTGAACCAAATGAGTTTTAGAAACGATATGGATTGAAGTACTAATTCACTAACATCTCTGAATATTTAAACATTAAAGTAAATTAAATATCATGAAAGAAGATAAGCCCGGAACCAGAAAACTACGTACGCTGGCCAAGAATCAAATTTATTAAATTTTAGTTTCAGAAGCATTAAATTAGGTTTCAGCACACTGAAATCTGCAATACCAGCTTCATTTGCACGGTTTCACAATATTGCGACTCCATGGTGGCGCCGCTGGTAGGCGGAGACACAGCAAGTTGAGAAGTAAGACGTGTGGTCGGATCGGGTCAAGATTCTATAAATTTGAACCTCATCTTCCTCATTGCTTGTGACTCGTCTCTGATTGAGTGCTCAGTTTCTACAGCTTCTGGCTGTGCCGGCTTCGATTTGTACCCGAACTGTCTCGTGTTTTTTGGATTAGCATTTTCTGAGAGGTAATCGGAAGAGATGATACTGGTGGCGATCGTGGCGGAGGTGCTAGAGGAGTACACGGCGGTGCTGGCGAGGGTCGTGGAGCAAGTATTCCGCTCTGCCCCTGTTCCTCGGCGGGTTCGTTTCCTCATCCTCCATAGTCTTCCATTTACTTCTTCTCGCCCTGGGCTTCTGGCTCCTGCGCCGCACTGACTCGATTCTTTCTTTGAATTCGATGTAGAGCTTCTAAATTTTGTTTTGTTGAAGCGTGTTTGACAATATCGTGTCGCTTGTTCGTGCTTTTTTCTTCTCGATTTTCTCCTCCATTTTTCTTTCTTTTTTCTTTTGCTTGATTTTTTTCGAGTTTCTCTTTTCGATCTGTGTATATTGTCTCTCCCCAGGTTTGTATAAATATGTTGGTTTTGGCCTCGATCACAGATGCTCTTTGGTTAAGATTTTCAGTGATTCTACAGTAACTCTGTTCTGTTCATTCCCCTGCCCTTGTTTGCGATGAATTGGACCTAGAATCTGAAGCAGCTTCTTGATAATTTTCTGGTGATGCGAAGATGATTAATTGATAACTTCAATGTAGATTAGTAGTTTCTGGTTTTGATTCTGGGCTTCTTGAATTTTTGAACTGAACTCTGAGTCGTGATTCAGCTGAAGCGGAAAGTGAACAGTGAATACGGGGTGTTGGTGGTTGCTGGAAGAATGTAGAAAGTCCTGCCGTCTATTATTTTATGTTATCCTTAATTAAAAGAGGCTTGGGTATGGATTCATGACTAAAGGTGTAAATGAAGGCGTACAGTTAACCGTAGAGTATTTTTCTGCGTATTAAAAGGACCATGAGTGTTGAAAACGGTGTAAAAATAGTGTAAAAACATGAGGATGGTCAAGTCAACTGGGCAAACTCGCCAATGAAAAAAGAGTGACGCTAACGTGTTCGGAAAGTTTTTATTGCACTGGCTATTTAAAAGTATTTTTACAATAAATTTGTCTTAAAAACTTAAAATCACAGTAATATTGTCATTTGGCGTTAAAAATATCATTAGTTAGATCATTATTTTAATAATTAACATTATTTTTTTATATATTTGATGGTAGGAGGATAAAATTGTTACAATTTTAAATTTTTGAAACAAAATAACTTGTAAAAAAATTTCAACTCTTGGAATTTCTGAATAAAATTTTTTGAGATAAATTTATATACTACCTCCGGTCTTTAATATAAGACCCAATTTGACTTTTTGTTTGGTCTTAATTATAAGACCCTAATCCATTTTATCTGTATTTTTTTTCAAGATAGTCCTTCTAATAATGATAGTTCTAGTCAATACACTTAATTAGCAAGGATATTTTAGGAATAACGATACTTATTTATTACAAATAACTAATTTAACTTATTTTTTTAATCTTTTTAAATAAATCAACTGAGTTTTATAATTACGACCGAGGTAGTATTAACCAAAAAAATAAAAGTGCACACCAAGGTTTTGAAATAGTACCAAAATACTGTGATAACAATTAATTGATGTTGACTGTTTAGCAACGAATCTCCACATGCGTTGTATAATGATTTTGCCCATAGTATCCCCGTGTACCGCTGCAGGGTCTTCCGCACGACATAAGAGCCATGCCTCTTTGATGTCAGAGTCGCCCCTTCCTCAATTATTGTCATTTTCCTTAGTCGTTTTTTTGGCTTTTGATGGTTTTGTTTTGCAGTTAACGAGTTCCAAATTAAGGACACCACTTTCGGCCCAAAAAAAAAAAGAAAGGACACCGCTATTATAAACTAGCCATGTGCTGAAAGAAAATGAAAAAGGCGGATGACATCAAGGAGGCCGGGAGAGAAGCAGCTTCGACAACGAGCAGGTGCAACCACTACATCAATCCCATGGTGAAAGACACCCTAGCTTGCGTTTGGTAAGAAGTATTAAAAGTGAGAGATTGAGATTGAGATTATAATTAAAAAAGAATATTAAAAGAATGTTTAGTATAAGAGATTGCTTGATATATAAGATTAGCTAAACTTATACATGTAAGATTAGAGAATACTATGAAGAGAAGTGGTATTTCCCAATCTCATCTCTATGGGTTTGTCTAATCCCATATAATAAGCAATTACTCATGCCAAATATTATTTTATTGATTTTTTTCAATTACAATGTCAATCCCAATCTCTCATTTTCAATGCTTTGTATCAAATGAAGCCAAGGAGTAAAAATGCTATTCAACACACATAGAGATTATTTGTTGAGCAGTTCTTTTTTTGAGCAAAATATTTGTCGAATAGTTAATGTTGGTTGAGTCAATGGTTATGACATTTTTACATTATTTTAGAGGCTTTATATATACTTTTGTACCATTTTCTTGAATAACATGTTTGTTAAATTATCAATATGTAATAGTCCTGATATTTTTTGTATTGTTTTGAAACTTTCAAGTGTTTTTTTTTTCCACTCAAAAAAACTTTATGATGTTAGCTGCATATGAAGAATACTTTAATAGTAGATTTGCACAATCGCTTTGATTATTTAAATTAATTAAAAATTATAAATGAAGATATTAATTTTGAGATAATTATAATGAAAGCTAGTCTAACTTATCAGGGAGATATTTTGCTTCCCTAGCATTAGGGAGATCATTGTGAGTTACGAGAGTGAGTTTTATTTTTTCTAAGGCACTTTGAAATATATACCAATAAGCACTCAAATTTGAAATTTGTTTTTCCCTTCTAAAATGTCCTGAAAATTTATTTTTGTAACAGAAGTGTCCTGGCATCAGCAGAGGTTAATTTTCACCGTTAAATTTTTCTTTTTGACCTGCTTATGCTGACATGGTGGTGAATTGGGAAAAAAATTTAGACACGTGGCTACTTGTTCACACATCATCATCTCCTTCCTCTTTTACCCCCCGCGGGGTGTCTCGTCCTAAACGCTCTCACCTGTACCAGCTAACCCCACCTTGTTCTTCTGCGATTCACATCCCAGCAACCCCATGTCACCGTCGTCGCCGCTACTTTGCCTCACTGATAGACCCACAAAATTTTGACTGTTCATGTGCCTCTATACGTTCGAATCACACCCAAGTCCTTCAAGCTCCACATCCCATATTCATCATTGAACAGAGAGATTGTGCGCACCTGTTGCCCTCTGATTTTCGAGGTAATTGGCGGAGTCTGAGGCTCAGTGTGGGTTCTTGTCAAGTTTTGGTTTTTCCCAGAAATTATTTGTGAATTGGAAAATTTATGAGTTCTTGGTGCTCCGAATTGTTTGGGGCATGCTATTTGCATCCTAGTATGAAATCAAATCAAAGTGCAGGGTGCCTCTATGGAAGGAGAAAGAAGAAGAATGGAAGTGTGATTGATAGTTAGAGAGAGTTTGAGAACCATAATGTGATGACGAATCTCATCACTTTCATTTCTTCTCTGCTAAAAAGGGTCTCTGAATCAAATGACGCTAACAATAATCTTCAACCTCGGAGAATCTGTCTTCCATGGCTTACCAAGATCCACCATCTGGAGAGAATATTCAAGTACACTAACTTTAATCCTGCTTGTTTCATTGTCGCTTATGTTTATCTCAATTGTTTCACCCAGCCGTTTTTACCCATCAATTCCTTCAATGTTCATCGTCTCCTCAATACCAGCGTCATGATGAAATATAGTGAAGTTCGGCAAATTTCACGTTTCTAATGTTCCTATCCATGCCAGACAAAATATAAAAAGGCAAACTCAAACCATAATCTTTACTTTCTTGTTCTTAGTCAGTGTCGAATTTTGTGAGTGTGAATTTTAAAGTGTTCTTATGCCCAAATCAATGTTGCATTATGGGTTTGGGAGGGAGAGAAGGGATCGGGAAAGAATTTTCAGGAGAGAGAACGAGGCAGGGAGGATGATGGCAAGTAGCTACCTGTCTAAATTTTCTCCCAAGCCATGTAAGCATAAGCACATCAAATATAAATATTTAACAGTCAAAATTAATCAGACGCTTTTATTATGAAAATAAACTTTCAAAATATTTTAGAGAAAAAAACTTTTAGGATCTGTTTGGTTTGAGTGGAGAACAAAGGCCTGTTTGGTTTGAAGGGAGAGTAGGGGGGAGGGAGAAGGGGAGGGATAGTAATAATTAATTTACCATTTTATCTTTACATATTAGTTTATATTTTTTATTGATATATTATATAAATTGATTTACATCTTAATTTAAATTATATAATTTAATAAAAATTCAGTTTTATCATGTTAATATGTGCATTAAAACAATTAATTTTATAATATTATAATTTTTTATTTTTAAATAATTTTTTATAATATATTTTTTAATTATAATAATTTATATTTTTTATTTTTACTTAGGATAATATATTTTTTATTTGAAATAAATATTATAATAATATATTTTATGAGTAGAAGTGGAATATTAAAAAACTATAAGGGTATAATAGTTCAAAAATTTAACTCCATTCCAAAAACCCCCAATTTGGAGAGGAGCTAAAATGGGGAGAGGAAGGGGAGGAGAGGGGACATTTTGGCTTCCCTTTCCTTCAAAATTTTCAACCAAATGAGGGGAGGGACTCATTTTCCCTCCTCCCCCTCCCCTCTAACCAAACACATCCTGAGGGAGAAAAGGGAAGGAAGGGGGTCAGGTGGGAGAAGTTTTAACCTTACCTTGTTTGATTTGATTAAAAAAAAAGATTTGATTAAAAAAGAAGAGAGGGAGGAATATTCAATGATTCCTTATTTGGTTTTAGAGAGGAAGGGGAGGGATAGCAATAATCAATTTATCATTTTATTCTTATATATTAGTTTATATTTTTTATTGATATATTATATAAATCAATTTACATCTTACTTTAAATTATATAATTTAATAAAAATTCAGTCTTATCATGTTAATATGTGCATTAAAAACTTGGTACGATAATTTTTTATTCTAATTAATATAATAATATATTTGAAATAATCAAATTAACAAATTTTATATGCCCTAAAAAAATTGAAATTTTATTCTCTTTAGACTATGTTTTTTTTCAGCTTTAAAATATATTTAATAAATAATATATTTATAAAAAAATTAATTTTGTAATATTATAATTTTTTTACTTAAATAATTTTTTAATTTTTAATTAAATTTTATTATAATTTTTTAATTATAATAATTATATATTTTTTATTTTTTCACTTAAGATAACATATTTTTTATTTCAAATAAATATTATAATAATATATTTTATAGGGTAATAGTAGAATGTCAAAAAAACTATAAAGGTATGATAGTTCAAAAATTTAGCTCCCCTCTAAAAACTCTCAATTTGGGGAGCTAAATAAGGGGAGAGAGAGAAGAGGAGGGGAGGGAAGGGGGAATATTTTGGCTTCCATCGCCTTTAAAATTTCTAACCAAATGAGGTGAGGGGTTTATTTTCCCTCTCTTCTCCCATCCTCTCTTCTAACCAAATAGACTTTTTCAGTGCAAATATTACTCAATGTGTAGTTTTAGAATATTTTAGCACTTTATTCTTATATTTAATACGATTTAAATATACCACTACATATAAGCATTTCAATGCTAGACTAAAATTTTGATTCTAGGTGGTGTCATTATTAGAACAATTTGCAGTTAATGTGAGTTTACTCTAGCAATGCATTAAACTCATTTTATCTAAGAGAAAAATCATACCACTTGCGATCATGAACAAAATTCAACTCGCAACTTCTTACCTTTAAAAAAAATAATAATAATTACATGTTACTAAGCTACAGGCAGCTAAAGATTGAAAATAATTTTTTTTGATAAGCTGGAAAAGAAAACAAACAGGACGGATGATTGAAAATAATTTTAAAATCTAGAGTATATGTATTTCAAAATTTTCTTCATCATGAATAATAACATTTAAAGATATTTATAACCAGAATAATTTTAAAACAATGTGATATGTTATTTTTATTTAAAAGTGCTAAATATAATTGAAAAGGGTAATTAGCGGGTTGCTGGTGAAAAAAGAAAATGTTTCCAGGAATTGGGCAGGTATGAGCTTTGAAAATTTAAATATAATAACATAACTTCCATATTTCAGAAGTTTGTTTGGAAAGTATCCAAACATAATCAAGGGAAAAATTTCAAAAGGGAGGACCAGAGGAATCAAAAAAATCATTCTTATTATGTGCGACAGTTGTTGGGTGATACTGAGTAGACATTTCGAGACTTGGCACTTGGTAACGTGAATGGTAATGATGATTTTTTCTCCTCATTCACAAATGTCCTTGTACTCCTCTGGTCTTAAATATAAGATTACTTTTATAGTGTAAATTACACTACAAAAAAAGTATTATATTTAGGACCGGAAGAGTATTATAAACAATTTTGTTTTGGACAGTCTGAGTACTTTTCTCAGTAAAGATTTAAATCTTGATTTATTAGCTAATGATATATTAGTCCTTCTTATTAGATTCAATACAGTTGATATGACAATGGTCGTTTTACCTTTGCCGTGGTAAATTCTTTGCTTTTGATAACTAGTAACGCTACTTGTAGGCCCCAAAAAAAAAAGGCCATAAAATTGTGTGATTTCTAAAACCAGTGAAGCATCCATGCCTTTTCTTTTCTTCTTCTTTTTGTTTGGTTGAGGAAAAAAAGAATCTTAAAACTTGATTAGAGCTAAGATAGATTTTACAATTCAAAAAATGCTAAAAGAAACAAAAAATTGTTTTGAAAGTTTTCTAACACGTCCAGTTGGTATCATTAAATTTTGGCTGACATTATATTTTTATTGAAGTTTTAAAAATAATCAAACGAGTCTTATATTAACATTTTATCAACATTGACTACTATTAGTTAAACAATTTTGGTCAAACGGGTCTTATATTAACATTTTATCAACATTGACTACTATTAGTTAAACAATTTTAATTAGGACTAAATGACCACTTTTCCTAAAAAATTTTCTACATCTGGAGTAGGAACCCTAAACTTCCGATCAGATTTATCTTTAGATTATCGATGTTCAGATTAGACAAATGATCCAAGCACACTTCGTCAACATTAAAACATGATTTTTATTTCCGAATTATGTGGCTATGATTAAGGTTCAAGAATTGGGGGTAACTTTATTAGAAAAGAATCGGGGAAAACCCGAAAATTTTAATTTTTTGGGGATTTTTTAAAAAGAATTTTTAACAAGTTTTTGGGAGAACTTGTAGGAAGCCTCTATTCGAAAATTATATTTGTCAAAATTTTATATGCTTTTATATACAGAAAATACGGATACTCTATAGGATTTCAAATACTCTACTATATTTGGATTTTTCAAAATACCCAAAAATTAAAAGAACCTCAATTAAATAACTTAATTAACTGATTTGAGTAGATTAAGGATATTAGTTAAATTAGTTAGTATGATACATTTTTTCCCCTAAAATACCGTTATCATTTTTCTTAATTCTTTCTCCTTTTCTTTTACTTGATTATTATTAGGAGAATATCAATAGAGTTAATTTAAAAAAAATTATAAACATGTGAAGTAAGTCTTATATATAGGACTAACATTAAATTTCTAATTAACTTTTATATTAAAGATATGAAGAGTACAAAAAATACCAATATTTGATTCAGATACTTTTAACTAAAAAAATTTCCTTTTTTTTTTGGGATAAATGCTCATTTTTTACCTTAATCTTATTTCTTAGGTGCACCTAGTATTCTATTCTTTTTATTGATGTAATTTTACTCATGCTTTTACTTTTTTTTATTGTTTTTATGACTCTAATGTTATTTATATAGTGCATTTTATGTTAGAATGCTGAATATAACTAAAAAAAATAATATCAAATGCATTTAGAAAGATGAGAATGTTAATGAAGGTTTACTTTTTTTTTTTTTTGGGTACCAAAGAATGCTAAATCCCAAAAAAAAAGAAAGAACAAAACTAAGGGGATTGCAATCCCATACTATCCTTTTGGATCAAGAGCAAATTTGAGGCTTTTTACTTATTCTTGTTCATAAGACTGTCAGAGCATAATTTTTTCGGCCTGGACCGTAAGAGCATAATTAAGCTTACAACCCACAGAGATCCTCACAGACCCTATCCTATTCAAACCCAAGAGTGAAGTTTATATCGTGGGCTAGCCTGCTCAATATCGTGAAGGCCCAGTAGAGCCCACGCTTCGAGGCTGAATATTTGATCGGACTCGCCGGTGAGCGGCGGGGGCATGATCATACCGTGGCGCCGGCAGTTGTGAAGTGTCGGGATTGAGGGGAGAGATGTCCACGGAGAAGACTAAACCGAGACGACTGAGGGGTCACAAGGACACTGCTACATGCTGTATCGCTTCAGGCTCCCGACCAGATGTCGTCGTCACTTCAGGCGATGTACTTTCTCTCTTAACTTACCCTTAACTTTATCTTCCATTTACTCTAATTCCAGGAGTCTTAGAATGTGTATATATTTTATTCTGGGATGTTTTGAAATATTTTGTTTCTATGGGCAAGCTAAAACGGGAAAAACTCGTTACTGGTTCCTCGATGCTCGATATCAAGTTTATTGTATGAAGCTTTGCGTGATTTAATATTTTTGATGTCTCTTTTGTCATTCATTAGGCTAGCTAAATATAGGATTTTGTGGGAGTTAAATGGTTTAGCTTTGTTATTATGAGAATCTTTATGTGGTTTACATTTGACTGTCCGTAATAAATTAAAGCCAAGCTACTTGCCGCCTTTATATTCTTTTTGTGTATTGAACAAAATGCTGCTTCTAATATGCTATCTGTCGCATATCCTGAGGATTGCTTTGCGGCTCTATATATGAATTGTAGTATTTTCTTTTTTTTTTTTTTTTTTTAAATTATACTTGTTTCTCATATAACAGGATGGTCGACTTTGCTGGTTTGATATGCGATGCAGAGAAGCCCAGCTGGTTATGGATGTCAGCGAGGAACCCATTTCATCCATGTGTTTCAGGCCAGGTGAATCTCTTTGATCTGTTTGTGTATCCATCAAGCCTTTTTAGTTTGAGAAACCATGATTCTGAATTTATCCCTGGAAAGCATGTTATTGATCTTCAGTTGAGTGAATAGTGCTAGCAAAAACTAGTTATGCTGATCTTAGCCTGTACTGCTATAGATTATTCCTTATCAGTGGCAAGAAAGATCATCTTACGTCTTAGGTACACCATGTCACATTGGCTGATGTGGTGTTATGGAACAATAATAAGTGAATAACAAACATGACAGAATGGGTAGAGGGTAGTTATAAGAATGTGAGACAGTTAGAAGTCTTATGGCCTGTAAATAGATGTAAACTCATTTGTAATACCCTGACTATGAATGATATGGATTAGTTTGTTTGCTCTGTTTTTCTCACGTAGCTTCTCTATTTCTCTCATCTTTCCTCTTTATTTTGCTGTTTCCCTCCCTCAGATCCTCTCTTGCCTGTTTCTCTCTCTCTTCCTCTCTCTTTCTTATTCCAATATCATAACATATAGTTACTATAATTTTCAAATCTTGCGAAATTGAATACTTAATTGACTCAGCACCTAATTCAAAAGGGGAAAATTCTAATACAACTAACCATAGTCATATTCTAATATTCATGTTGCACGTGGTTACATTTAATGAAAATTGCTGTGAAGCTCTCTCAAATTTTCAATCTGTTAGCGCTAAAGTCAACAATCAATTTGGTACTGTTATATTTTATGTGGTGATTACGCATGTGGATATTTTTCTGCCTCATTCCAAACCGTGCTATCTTCACATAGCATTCTTCATGATTCTTCATGCACTCCTACTGCTCAACAAAATGGAGTGAATGAGAAGAAATATCGGAATCTTATTAAGACTGCTCACAATCATCTTGTGCATTGTAAGAGGGAGAATCATCTTACGTATTCACCCAAACACTTCAACAAACACGATCCCATGGCTTCTGCATTGGTATTGTCATTTGGTGCAGTGTGGTGCAACCAACATGGACAAAAATGAAAGTTGCTGCTTTTGAGGATTTTTTAGATCCTATTTGGACAGTCTAGCCCCAGTGGTTCAATCACTTTGTTATTTCTTACAGATTTTGCACAAGTTAGGTTCTTCTTCTCTTCTCCCTCATCATTATTCATTAATTATAACTTAGAAGAACATGCTGAACAAAGAGCTCACTATGCCATGTTCTATCAACCACTACACATCTAAATGGTATCACACAAAGGTGTTAGTTCAGTTTCGGTATGATTTTTGCGTGGTGTATCATATATAAGTCCATGCAGTGTATTAAGTTTTTGATGGATTGTTGACACATGGTAATATTTCTTAGATCTTATGAAAACGCCTTTTGCTCATGTCAGGGAATGAAGATATCATTTATGTCTCCTCAGGAAAGGAAGTCAAGTGTTTTGATGTCAATCTGGTAACTACTTCATGGGAATTGCATCATCTTTGAGTTTCTGCAATTCTAATTCTATTTTCCATATAGAAAATGTGTGCAAAATTTTTGGATTATCATGGACTTTTTCCTTTCTTGAATTCCGTTCATATTTCAAGGTTTTCTTACTTAAATGGTCTACTTATCATGTAATTATGCATATATTTTTTGAAGGCCACCTCATGGAAGCCTTTGCAGAGCTATAATTACAATAAAGAGGATATAAATCAGGTAGATGTTAAATGTTATTGCTTGTATTTCAGTTTGGTGTTATGACAATGTCCTGCATTTACCGGATTAGTTGAATTTTGTCCTGTTTATGGGTATACTAGAAAGTGGTTCACACACATCTGTCTGTGCATTTGCCAGATTATTTGACATTAACTTGTATACTTTTTTTCTGGCCCAAAAAAAAAAAAAAAAAAAACTTGTATACATTTTTTAGCTCTATACGCTTTTTTGTAAATTAAAGAAAAATATTTCAACTGGTGTAAAGGTTTTTCCTGAAGCTATTGGGACAAAGAGTGAAGACGTTAAACTGTGAACATCTTTCCTTTATTGATGTTGCAGATGAAAACAAGGTTCAAGTTTTATCACTTTAGTACTTATCAGTAATTGTAATAATAATGGCTTGAATTTCAGGGATAATACCTGTAAGAAGACTTTTCTTCTGCTTTTCTTGGCTTTCTAATAATTTGTTTTCTTTTCGCAAGTAAATTTAAGAACGTTAAGCTTTTAGCTTTAAGAGATTGTCTCATTATCAATTTGTTTGGAAGAAACTTACCTGTCTTCGTAGTTCCACATATAATAAATATTGGAATTTACAACCATTCTCTTTCTGATTTTTTATTTTCTTATTAGTGTCTGTGTTAGTTCATTTCCTAACATTTTGTTGATGTTATCATTTTTCCCTTTGACAGTCAATAAATTCTTTTACTTTTGTATTGATTTTGATATTTTATGTTTATTCACTCTCAAGGAAATATCGTTGAAATTTATGCAATAATCTTGATGAATCATTATTGAGAATCCTGTTTCCTGACTTCATAGATGGGGTTTAGATAAATTTCTGAAAATTATGCACTGATCCATGCATCAATCTGTCAACAACCATCTCTTTGGATAAATTAAATCAGTTCACGAATGTTTGTTTTTGGGGAAGTTCTTGAAATAAAAGCATTTTTACATTTACAAAATCGGCAAATTGTTCTCACCAAATGTGTAGTCTTTGACTTGAACTCTAAACAATGGCTGATTTTTTTTTTTTTTTGGTAAAAATAATTGTTTGAAGGACCTAAGCATGACAGTGTGACTTCAATGATTCAGTAGTCTACTATTTTTCTATGGTATTTCAACTTTTCATACTTAATTGCTTGTTCAATACCAGAGCTTTATTTTGTGTCCAGTCTATAATACTAATTTCTGTCTACTTACCAACTTTTCCCATCTTTCTAATTGAATAATTTTTTGTGTCTGCGCAGATTGTATGCAACTCAAAGTCTTCCTTTCTTGCTGCTGCAGATGATAGCGGTGAAGTGAAAGTATCTAATTTTTATTCATCTTTTTCCTTTTCTTTTGGTTTTCAAGAAATATCCTTTTCACTTATCATTCTTGCTTTGAATTAAATATGGAAGAGTTACAATTTTGGAATTTATGGCAAAAAAAAAAAAAAGGAAAAAAAGTATCCCGTTTGGGGACAATTAGATATCCAAGTGGATATGGTGTTTCATTAACCACCATAAATCTAGCAATGCATTCTGCAAATCTCATTGACTACATGGCTTCATCGTTGTGCCATCAGATATGGAAACAAAAATGGGCATAACATAAGTGAAGTATCTGGAGTATTTGTTTCAAGGCTTTTCAATACAAATATAATATGAGGAAGAATTTCTAGAATCAATCTTATACTGTTGAACTGTAAAAGTTCTTAGCGCGTCATGTTTTTATTACAGAGTACATGATATCAGATATTTAATTTAAATTGAGTTCTGTACAGCAAACTATTTGATTATGTGGTATGTGATGCCAAAACAGTGACTCAACTGAAGAATATTAATTTGATTTCTTAATTAGCTGTAGTATATTACTTATGCACGCAGCCTTTCGTCCCTTGTTTAGCGTAAACACTCTCTCTTCTGATAGTAATTATATCTGAAGAAAGTTTCGATCTAGTCAATATCTTGTTTTTGAGTAATTGAGTTCGGGGAGTTTTCTCTGATCTCCATTAGTTGTGACTTTAAATCAGAGCTGAATTGCTCGCTTGCTTTTAAATTTATGGAAAGCTGAGTTGCACCGTGTTTCACGTTTTAACTGTTACTTGATATCTCTTGGGCAGATAATTGATATTCACCAACAATGCTTGTATAAAACACTGCGATCTGGCCATACAAGCGTATCCTTTTTTTTTACTTGCTTGTACAATACAACCTTGTCCTTTTCCGTTGCTTCCCTAGATGGAACTAAGCATGAACATGGGGGGGAAAAAAATGCTTTCGCTAGTGTAGTCTTTCGCTGCCATTTTTTGGGTGACATTGAATAGGGTCAAAGCAAGTGCTAGAGGTTGGATCAGCGTTTACTCTTTGAAATCTTTGATAATCACAACTGATATGCTAGGGTTCAATCTAAACTGAATAGAAACTAAATGTAAGTAGGAAACAAGTATTAAATCACATTACTGGCTTTAACCCAATTTTTAAAGGTCGAACATGTTCTGTGGGCCATTGATTCATTTGCACCTCTTCTCTTTTGTTCCCATTTTTTAATTTTCTTTAATTTCAACGCTTGCTTTTATTTTCATCTTTTATTTTCATTTTAATTTTTTTAACATTTTATAATGTTACCTTGACCGTTTGCTGCTAGATTTGCAGCAGTGTGCAATTTCTTCCTTGGAGATCTTGGGAAGGTTTTCTATAATCCTATTTATATATGTTTGTTTACAACCAAATCTTATACATGCCGCATGGTGCACTTTATCAATTGTCATCGTGGATGAAGTTAACTAATTATAGCGGGTCTGTCCATTATGCCATCATGCTTTCAGTTACTGGTTAAATATCTATTCCAGTTTTTGACCCGCGCAAAAATCTATTCGAGTTGAAAATGGCCCTTGAAGTTCGTATCAAACACTATGTTAAGCTCTTCTCTTTTATAGTTGCACATAGACCATTGCAAAAATGTGTCATTCTCATAGCCTAAGTACAATCTACCCAACCCGACCCCCTCAGGCCTAGATCCATTGACTAACTCCTCTAATCCATTAACTAACTAACTAACTCTAACCAGCTCTCTCTCCCTTGTTACTGATATATCATAATGCTTTTGACCTGATTCCTTTTTTTTTGGGTGCTTCTTTAGTTATCAGTGGAGGTCTTGATTCTAAGCTTCTAATGTGGGACTTCTCCAAAGGGCGCTCATGCGAAGTTATGGATTTTGGTAACTTCTTTCTCTGTAAATAGGCCTGCACAGATATACTATTGCATGCCTTTAGGAAAAGGAAAGTTTAAATTATTGTTTTGGTCCTTAACGTTTCCCTCAATGTTTAGTTTGGTTGTTGAAGTTTAAAAATTTCATTAGGTCTTTATATCTCCATTTTTAGTTTGGCCGGTTATTGCTATTTTGACAATTCAAAAAAGTGTGATTGAAGGAAACTCATACAAGTCACTTGTATAATTAGCATCATATATCAACTGAGTTGATTTAATTTTATTATTCACTTGTATCCTTTCTTCTTCAACTCATGCATATTATGAGGGGTATGACGGCATGTGGTGGCTGCAGTAGCAAAATGTAGAGCGGACCACTGATGAAAGCTTCAGGGCATATAGACTAAATTAAACATATCGTAACAAGAGCCAGCTGCACTATTAACAAATTATGAACAATACAGCTCATTCCCTAGGTTTCGGGCAACACACTATATAGTTTTAAGGTATAAGCGAGTGGATTATATATTTTTAAATTATACGGATCAATTTGAAGAACGATAGGGACTAAACAATAATTTTAACTAAAGTTATGATGCAAGTGGGTAAATAAAAGAGAGGTAAAATAGATAACTGACTTTGCAATTGTGCCTTTTCTTTACTGCAGGTTTGCCCGACGTAACAAGTTCTAGCAGCCTTGGCCAGTGTTTAAATCCTGCTTTCGTTCATGCAGTGGCTGTTCCAGAGGTTGACATGCTCGATAAACTAGACAAGGTATGTGCTGTTGCAAGGGGTGATGGTTCTGTAAGTGTGACAAGTATTGAATCAGGCCTCGCAGCTCCAAAATCAAAAGGCTCCTTGAAAACCCGGAAAGGATCTCAGTCAAAATCAAAAGATGGCAGTTCAACTACAAGTGTGGATGATCAAGGTGGAAAGATGCTGCATCTGGATTCCTCAATGGGTGGCCATTCGGCAGCTGTTTCTTGCGTGTAAGCAAATCACTGATGTGACTGGTAATAAAGACTGATTCATTGTGCTAACAACTAGAAAATTCAGGGCCTTTTCTTTATTTGGAGAGAAAGGGAAGTACATAATATCAGGTGGAAACGACTGCTCGGTGAAGTTATGGAACTGTTCTAGTTATTTTCATGCTGGATCAAGCAGCAGCAATAGCGATTTCCTATATCTGAACATCATTCTGCCTGAAAAAGTGAGTTTTTTTATGCCACCTCTGGTCCTTAATATAAGATTTAGATAATTAAATTGCGGATATTAAGGTTGTGACACATATATTTTGATTTTCCTAAGCTACCCCTCTTAATCATATACATTGGAGCTAACTCTTGATTGGGAACCCCCTTAATATGTGCAATTAATATGGTTACTTTGGACAAAAAATTATAAATTTTTAGGGCAAAGTAAATCAGGGTCTTATATTTAAGATCAAAGCAAACTCCCTACCTCTTATATTTAAGACCGGAGGTAGTATTTTCATTGGAATTTCTTGGAAACTGTTTTCTTATTCCTCCTTGTGGCTATTATGCACTTATTTTATTTATATTTGGCAGGTCAATTGGCTGTGCACCCGACCAGCTGAAACGAACAACCTTATTGTGTGCGACACATCAAAAGTAGTAAAGGTTTACTCTGTAACATAGCTAAATCCAGGATGATCATGGTTCTCCGAATCTCGGAAGAAATAAAACTTTGTTGTGACAGTTTGTGACGATGTTGTACTTATTCTGAGGATAGCTTGGTGCTTCCTAACCTGGAGTTAACATTGCGAGTGCGGCTTAAATTATAGGGATTTTAGTTGGCCTATTTTTAGCTTACTGCTTAAGGGTTCTCTAGCTGTGTCAATGATGTATAGGAGATTATCAGTGATTGGTGGTTGTCTTGTTTGTACAGGATATGATAGATGACAATGATGAATTTTTCAGCTTTTATATTTATTTTGCATTACCTTGTGTACCAATGACTGAAGATATCCTCACGTTGAGGATTATTAAGTGCTGTATTATGGTTCTTTGCTCCCATAATTTGGTTATATTTTTTATTTGTTTCTTTTAGATTTTTTTTCAAAATTATATTTACGACATTGTGGTGGAAAATTTTTTTAATTAACATGCTGATGCGGCCAAACTGTGCTATTTTGATATTTTGAAAATGTACGATTGAAGTAAAAAATTTGGTGCGTGAGGATGGCATGGTTTTGGGAAGCAAGTTTATTAAAACATGACCAATTTATAGAACCACATGGTGTTTGAAAGAACATGGCTGTTGTAAACAATAGGCGAAGTGGAGAAATATTAGAGAGAGATAATACAAAGACAAGCAATACAAACAATAGAACAAGAGGAAAAAAATTAAAAAAAATTGGAAGCGTAGAATGAGAGAGAGCTCTATTATATAACTTCCGGTTTTTAATATAAGAGTTAGCAGAGGATTAAATTTGATTCTAAATATAAGACTTTCATTTATTTTATCTCCATTTTATTTATGCAAACCAACCCTATTGATTGCACATATTAAAAGAGTTTGTATCAAAGGATAGTTTTAATCCAAATAGCTTGAAAGGTTATTTTGGAAAAACCAACACATATTTTTAACAAATAATTTTAGTTATTTTTTTTAATCTATTCAAATTAGTTAAGTGAAATAGTATTTTATATCAACGACGGGCTAGTATTTTGATGCCTTGAGAGCTTTGTTAGGTGAACACAACGTGCTAAAATATGCCATCATGATGGACAATGGAGAAGGGGGGTGGGGTAAGCTGAAGTTACATTTTGGAGAGACCTCATGAAACAAGGAGGGAGAAATGTGCAAAGAGAAGTTCAACGAAGGTGGACATGAACGAATGAACGAGAGAGCAAGCCATTTTTCTGCCACAGTAAAATGAATCTGAAGTCGGCTCCGTAGATCAGCTCCACATATTGAGTTATTGAGTTTTATAGTATGATATGATGATGAAGTAGAATTTTTTTTTTTTGGATTTTGTAAAACAGTTAGCCCGTGAATATCGATCTTGCATGGATTTGTCAGCATAGATGAACCCCACCCAACTGAACCAGTTGCTTCACTTCCCGCAAAATTCCCAACATTTCTGTCCCAAGTCCTTTTTCTTCCCTCCTCTTTGAATTATAGGACAAACACTAACATACATTTTTATAAATAGCATCCAGCTCACGACTTTTCACTTACCAGGAAGCTTACATGTCAGAATCTGTGTGTTTCTGCCAAAATAAGAAAGAAGAGAAATCACTATATTCCAGGAAAAATAATATAATAAAAAAAATTCCAATAATGAATTGCAGGATGAGGATGAATCTTATTAATTTTGTTTTGAAAATTTACTAGTCATTTGTTAAGGGACTTTTTGGATAATTATATACTCGTCGATTTTAAATATAAAAACTCATTTATAGTGTAAATATACTATTATACTGTAAAAAGGTTTTATATTTAACACGGGAGGAGTATTTCTTTGGTATCACACGCTAAT